CGGTGATTATGCCTGCAAAGTGTGTCTCCAGCGTCTCTCCAAGATTTCACTATAGGAGGGTAGCTTTCTGCTTCCTACCTCTAGCTGCCATCTTGGAATCCTCCTCTTTTTAACTTTTTTATTGTTGTGCTTATTGTTGTGCTGGGGGTACATTTTGACATTTACAGAAGCTCTTACAATATATCCAGTATATCATACTTGAATTCACCCCCTTCATCAAGATGAGTTTAGTTAGTGACTCATGCTTGTAGTCTCAGCTACTCTAGAAGTGATTGGGAAGATTAAAGCTTGAGGCCAGCCTGCACAAAAATGTTAGCCAGGTCCCATGTTAGCAAAAAAAGCTGGGATTAGTGATACATGCCTCCAGTTCTGGCTCTGTGGGATGTATAAGTAGGAGGATCACTGTTCAAGTCAGCCCTGAAGGGCTAAAGAACATGACTCAAGTGGTAGAGTGCCTAGCAAGCAGTGTGAGGCCCTGAGTTCACAACCCCAGTACTGCCAAAACAAACAAACAAAGAAATAAAAGTTTCAAGCATTTACTCTGCTAGAGACTGCCTAGCAGTTTTCCATACATTATCTGATTGAATCCTCATGGCAGCTGTAGATGTCTGTGAACTCTTACTCCACTTTGTAAATGAAGTGCAGGCCTACAGAGATCAGGTTGCAGGCAGAGAGAGCTCCTAGCTAGTGTGTGGCAGAGGTGGGTTTCAGAGCCAAAGCCAGTCACCTAACCACTTGTGTACACGTACTGTGCTATAAGTAGTGCCTGGGATACCTTGTTAGGAAAAAATTACTAAAAGACCCCAGTTAGTTCAGTGTGATCACAGCTATAAAACCAAGGCAGTGCAAATCTAATATCTGATCAAATATAGTTTGACCTCATTTTTATGTTCTTGTCACATTCACTGTCATTTGTACCAGGCTGTCATTTATACCTTATTCTAGCGTATGGTAGACAGTATGCAGCCATCTATAGAGTCCCCTGAGCTACATAACCTCTGTTCCCTGTCAGGATGAATCATAACCGGATTATAAGCAAGCCAAGATTTAAAAGACAATTTATGGTGTGAAAATTTGGACCAAGGAAAAAATGCTGTAATTTGAGGCATTTGATAATTTGATAGAAAAGAAAGCCACACCTGAAAATATCTACCTAAGTCTGATGTAGGAATAACTATTGAATTCTTTCTGTTTTGTGTTGTAGACATTGAAACATCTGGTAAAGTTTCGAATAAATTAATTTCTGGTAATCAAAGCATTACATAAAGGAGAATTAAAAATGTAAATATTGTTAGGATAGATTTTTAAATTCCCTTACTTGAAAGACATCCTGGCTTTTTTACATTTAAAATTCTAAGCTTTGATTTCCTAACAATTTGTTTTTCTTCAGGAGTAGATCCCATAACAGATCACGTTCAAGACAGAAAGATAGACGGAGATCTAAGAGCCCACATAAAAAACGCTCTAAATCCAGGGAGAGACGGAAGTCAAGGAGTCGTTCACGTTCACGGTGAGTTTTACAGAAATTATGAAGACGCTTATGACTGGTTTCATTTATTAAATGTCTGTTGTAGTGTAGGTTTTTAATGGGCTGAATAAAACCTTTTCTGATTGTTTCAGTAGTTTAGGATTAACATTGATTGCTACTGATTTGACCTCATGGTCAGTGTGACTCATGAGGTTTCCTTCAGCAGCCTCATGTACCCAAGTTAAACTGCAATGCACGTGGAATGTCGATAGCCATTGTAAATTATTTTGTGTTGGTAATTTTGAAGAAAGAGGGAGGGTTGTCCTTTTTGAGTAGAATTATGTTAGTAATGAATTTATTTCTGTTTGCTTTTCAAGGGACAAGAGAAAAGATACTCGAGAAAAGCTCAAGGAGAAGGACAGAGTGAAAGAGAAAGATAGAGAAAAGGAAAGGGAGAAGGAGAGAGAGAGGGAAAAAGAGCGTGAAAAGGAAAAGGAACGGGGCAGAAACAAAGACCGGGACAAAGAACGGGAAAAGGACAAGGACAAGGATAGAGAGAGAGAGCGGGAAAAAGAGCCTGAAAAGGAACGAGACAAAGAGAAGGAAAAGGAACAGGACAAAGAAAAGGAACGCGAAAAGGACAGATCCAAAGAGATAGATGAAAAAAGGAAGAAAGATAAAAAATCCAGAACACCACCCAGAAGTTACAATGCCTCAAGAAGATCTCGTAGTGCCAGCAGGTTTGATAATACTTCACATTCTTACAGAGGGGCTTGCCAGTGACAAATGGGAACATACCACTTAACTGAAGGGGTAGAGCCAGTACCTAAAATCAGAACACTGCCTCTCACTGCAAAGTAAACGTTTCTCCAGCAGGATTACTACAGTGTTGAACTTGTGAGAAGAGGAGGAGGTGACACTGGGCAAGATCATGTGGAACGTTTTAGCTGTTCTTCCTAATGCACTACTTTAACACAACGAATCGTTATCAGGATTATTGATGTTTTCTTGGAGGATGAGATGTTGGGGGAGGTATTTAAATTTAAATATGCATAGGCGTTGACCTTTTAGGCTTCTGTATATCTTTGGAATGGTGTGGTAAATTTTAATATGCACAATTTCTAAAGTTGCAGCGTTATGTGTTAGTCCTTTCTGTTATCTAAGTTAATTTTTTTATGTTGAGTGTATGACATTTAAAATTGGATTCTTTGTCAGTTTTCAGGGTTCCTTTCTTGGGATTGTTCTTTCAATTTATCAGTAGGTATGTTGCCACCAGGTGGCAGCAGGTTGCCATAGTAACAGCTGCAAAATGAGAACTTTCCTCAAGGTTATCTAAATAAACCTAGATTCCTTACTCCAGATGATATCGTGACTATAAATAAGTAGAAATTTCCTACTGGAAATTTGTGTTAAACTGTCTCTTAAAAGTATTTTTAAAAAATATGCTTTAGCAAATTTTAAGGATGGCTTTTCACTGAAAACAATTTGAGATAAAGGAATGCTTCCTCTTTTATAAATTTGTGCTTTTACATTTTATTCTTAATACTAGCCTTTGACTAACATTAAAAGGTAGTGACAGATGAGTACAGGTATTGGATGCTTTACCATGTGCCAGATACAATGCCTCAGCTAACTTTCCATGTGACACCTTATTTAGTCTTCTCAACAAGCTTGTGACAAGACTATTATTATCACTGTTTTAAAGCGTGAGGACACTGACGTGTAGGCAAACTGCATCTGCTCTGCACTTCAGTATCATTTTCCTTCTTTTTAGAGAATTTAAACAGCATTTGGTATCTGCTTTTAAAAATTGCCTCAGAACCATAAAGTTAAAAGTAATAGTACATGTTAAAATGGGGCTCATATTAGATTACTGCCACATTTCAACACATTAACTTAAAAATGGAAGAAAATTCAGTTTTCTTTGCTGTGGATATCAGTTTAGCCTGTGATTATGCTTTTATCTTTACTGCACAGTGATTTTATTGATTGTCATGCATCCTTTTGTATTTGTGCAGTTGTTTAACATAACGCCAAATGCTTTCATTCTTCTTAATAATTTGAATTTGATAATTTTAATAACCTGAATTTAATTTTGTCATTGACCTTGCATCTCTTGATCTTTAAGAAAGTTCATATGTTCACATTCAGTCCTAAATGCATTCTTAACTAACCTCTGGTGCTTGGAGAATAAAAGATAAACAATATTAGTTAACAAACATTCAGCCATTAGCAGTGTTTCTTGCTTTCAGAAGAGCTTGGTAAAGAGTTGCAGTTTCTCACTCTAGCACATCCCAGCTTTCACATGCTCTGGTTTGTTCATTGAATGGTAACATTCTAACTGTTCAGAAAAACTCTACTTTATACTTTCATTTCCAGCATTGCTTCCTAATCTATATTTTCAAAGAAAAATCAGATATTTAGAAAAATTTCATTTTATTTTGGGGGGATACTAGGGTTTGAACTCAGGGCCTATACCTTGAGTCACTCCACCAGCCCTTTTTTGTGAAGGGTTTTTCCGAAATAGGGTCTCATGAACTATTTGCTCAGGTTTGGCTTCAAATCGTGATCCTTCTGCTCTCTGACTCCTGAGTAGCTAGGATTACAGGCGTGAGCCACTGGCACCAGGCTATTTAGAAAAATTTTTTATTGCTTAAAAGTTACTATCAAAAAGTGAAACCAAGAAAAGTAAGAAGAGGGCTGGGGTGTAGCTCAGTGATAGAACACTTGCCTAGCCTGCATGAGGCCTTGGATTCAGTCTGCAGAATGCAAAAAAAAATGAGGGGGGATTTGGAGGGTGAGGTGAGGAGAAAATATTTGTTGAGAACCTATTATGTGCCAGACTTTTAACATGTGTTATCATTTATCCCCATAACAACCCCATTTAAGACTTGAGTTACTATCTTTATTTTCCACTTGAAAAAACCAGACTCAGGTAAAATGATACTTGTGTTTCCAGAGTTCTTGAGATTGTTTAATCATTTTAAACATCAACCATATATACCACTAATATTGTGAGCATTATTTATTTTTTAATTTTACATGTAAAAATAAAAGCAATAGTAAAGAGAATTTGAATTCCAAAGTATTGATTTATTTCAGCCTCGCGCTCACTGATTATCAGAGTTCCTCATGAGAGAGCATCGATACATTAATCATTTAATAAATATATTCTCACACCTCATCACTCGATTTATGGATATGGTGAGGTCATCGATTGTTCTTTAAAGTTGATTGTTCTTTAAAACAAAGTAATTAAGAGTATGCATCATTTGTCAGTATGTTAAACAAAATAGTTTCTAATAATGAACACTGTAAATCTATTTGTTAATTTTTCCTTACTTTGCTATATTTGCACCCCAGATTTTAACTATTTCACTTGTATCTAAACAATTTGTGCCCTCAATTTTAGGTTGGTGGAGCAACAATAATGGTAGGAGGCTAGAGGAATAAGCAGTTTCTCCATAAAATAGCGATTTAAATGCCTCTGGAATTTTTTGGTTTGCAAACTAACTTATCTTTCAGGTTTTTTTCATTTTTGTTTTGTGGTACTTGGGTTCTAACTTAGGGCCTCATGCTTGCTATCCAGGTACTTTACCACTTAAGCCATTCTGCCAGCCCATCTTTCCACTCTTAAAAAGAATTTGCTACTTTGTTACAAATAATTCACAGTGGGGAAGCAAGAATCTTAGATACATGACAAAGGACCTGGTAGGAAAAACATTTTAGATGCTAAGAAGGAGCATAAATATTTGACTTGGAAGAATCTGAAACTCCAGTATTTTTTATACTTAAGAAATTACTGTTCAAATATACAGATGAAAAGGAGGTCCTCTATCCTTTACTAGATGAATTCTTAGATGACGATTTTCTCAGTCTGTAAAATTTATGGGTCATATTTTGACCTGCACTAAAAGTCAGTTAAGGACGTGTTCACAAAGGCCCTGTGAGGAACTGAGGATGTAGCTTAGTGGTAAAGTGCTGCCTGTTTTGTAGGAGGCACTGGGTTTGATCCCTAGCACCTAGATAAGTAAAGGGCATGGTGGTTCATGCATGAAATCCCAGCTCTTGGAAGGCTGAGGGAGGAAGGAGCATCTTGAGTTTAAGATTAGCTTGGGTTACATGTGAGACAATGTGAGAGTGTCTCAAAATAAATAAACTTGCCTCTGAGGAATACTACTCACTCAGGAGCATCAGAGACCCTTTGCTTTTTATGTTTTTGAATTGCCCTTCATTTCAGTCTCTGTTTTTAAAAATGACATATCTTTGGCTTTCAGAGAAAGGCGGAGGAGGAGGAGCAGGAGTTCTTCCAGATCTCCTAGATCATCAAAAACCATGAAAAGGAAATCTTCTCGGTCTCCATCCCCTCGGAGGTAGGTTGAGAACAAGTGCTAAAACTAAAGGAGAAGCAGGACATGTAGAAAATTCTCTCTTCAACCTATATTTTGAATGAGTAATGTGCATTCTTTAGAAATTAATAAAAAGAGTTACGTGATGAGAAGTCTTCTATCCATCTGTTCATCCACTCTGTCCCCATAAGTAATGACCATTAATTTTTCGTATAGCCTTCCTGTTTTGTATACAGATGCAACATGAGAATATAGTATAGTTTTCTCTTATATAAAAAGAACACAGTATGTACTGTTGTATACTTTTGTTACTAACTATCAGCAAATCTTTCCATACTGGTCCCAGAGAGAATGTCTTCATTCTTTTTTATAATTGTATGGTAATACCTTGATTTATTCCAACCTGCAGTAGAACAACGTTTCTGAATTTTCCTACTATAAATGATGTAATGTTTTAATAGTTTTGTGCTTAACATTGCTTTGTGGTATACAGGTATGTAGGAAACATTTCTAGAAATGCTATTTATTGCTGGGTAAGAGGGTAATTATGTTTGTAATTTTGAGACATATTTGCAAATTACTCTTCATAAGATAATACTGCACTGTAATCAGCTACATATGAAAGCACCTTCATTTCCTATAGCTATAACTTAAATATCAAAATTAATGATTTTTGTCCATTGTCCATTTGGTAGGTGAGAAATGTTAATATCAGTATAATCTTAGTTAAATTTCTCTTACCTGTGAAGCTGACCACTTCTGCCTATATTTCAAGGCCATTATATTTCCTTTTTCCGAGATTGTATATTTTGTCTGTTTCCCTGTGGAGCGCCCTCCTTGTATTAGGGGGATTATTTGGCAATTTTATTACAGATATTCCAAGTTTGTCATTTCTTTTTAGAGTTTTAAATGTTTTTATTTTTAAAGATAATTTAATATCTGTGCTGGATATACTGGTGCATGCCTGCAGTCTCAACTATGTAGAAGGGAGAGGAGGGAGGATTGTGGTTCAAGGCCTACCCAGGCAAAAAAGTTAGTGAACCCTTCTATCAGAAAATAAGCTGGGGACTGATGGAGTGGCTCAAGTGGTGGAGCGCCTGCCGAGCAAGCATGAAGGTCCTGAGTTCAAGCTCCAGTCTCACCAAAAAAACCCATAATAATATTCTAGGTCTGGAATCATGGCTCAAGTTGGAAAGCCCCTGTCTTGCAAGTACAAAGCCCTGAGTTCAAACCCCAGTACTGCCAAAAAAAAGTTCCAGTCCATAGACTATAAAAAGCAAACTGGGTGTAGTGATGTGCACCTGAAATTCCAGCTACATGGGGGCAGAGGTAAAATGATTGTCATCCTAGGCGCTCCCTAGGCGAAAGCTTGAACCACTGTCTAAAAAATAAGCTAAAGCAAAAAGGACTGGAGCCGTAGCCTAGGAAGTAGAGCACTTGCCTAACTAGTAGAAGGCTTTGAGTTCAAACCCCAGTACTGCCCCTCAAAAAATTTAATTCCTCTAATGACTTGAAAATTTGAGTCATGAAATTAGAAAGAGTAGAATTTCTCCATTGTTTCTTACACTTTCATCATTTTACTTTTTGCATTTAAGTATTTGGTTCCTTAAGAGTTTATCCTTTGTTGGGTGCTGGTGGCTTGTGTTTGTAATTCTAGCTACTTGGGAGGCTGAGATTGGGAGGATTTGCAGTTGGAGGCCAGCCTAGGCAAATAGTTTGAGAGATCTGCATCTCCAAAATAAACGGAGCAAAATGGACTGGAGGTGTAGCTCAGGTTTATTTGTAGATATTTTTTCCTTTTGTTGCTCTTGTAAATGAGTTTTTTCTTTCATTATGTCACCTAGTTGGAATTTAGATTTGTACAATAGAAAGATTATTGATATCTTCTGTATGTTTATGTTTTAAGCTTGCTGACTTACTAATTTTTGATTTTAGGTATAGAAAAGAGAAATGTATTTAAAAAATAAACATTAAAAAACCCTCTATTGTATAAGTTGCATGTTTCCCCACAGGAGGTTCTTTTGTTTATTTGGTTGTGGATTTTTGTTTTTTGATGAGAATAATGGAAAGCGTTGAGTATTATGGAAGCAGGGCCATATTTGTGTTTTTGAAACATGCCTTTCCTCAGAAAAGTCAAAACTTTTCTGATTTATACACTCAAATTAGACAAAAAGATGTATTTAGAGATGCTGCTCTATTCCCACTCACCATCTGTAAATGACCAATCATTAGTTTTATCCTTCCTCTGTTTCTTTTTTGCAACATTAGGCAGATACACGCATATTTCCTCATTTTTTCTTTCTTCACAAAAGACAGCGTATTCCTTTGTGTGTGTAAGTATGTGGCCAGTGATTACACCGAGGCTGCCTCATGTTTAAAAAATTGAGGTATAAGTCACATATTACAAAATTTACCCTTTGAGATGTATAAATCAGTTGTTTTTACTGTAATAAGTGTTGTACAAGCATCACCACTGTTTAATCCCAGAACATTTTTCACTTCAAAAGTCTGTCCATTAGCAGTTACTCCCCAGTTCCTTCACTTCAGTACCTGACAGCCTCTGGTCTACTGTCTCTGTATTTGCCAATTGTGCACTTCTCATGTATGGACTCAATATTTGGTCTTCAGTATCTGGCTTTGTTCACTAAGCATAGTGTTGAAGATTATGCATGTTGTAACATGAATCAGCATCTCCCTGTTTTGTGGTTGAATAATATTCCATTATATAGATAAAATCATCTTTTATTTATCTGTTCTTCAGTCAATAGACATTTAGCATTGTTTCCCCTTTTTTTAGCATTAATGAATAATTACCCTATGAAAATTCCTGTACACATTTTCGTGTGGAAACATTTAATTTCTTCTGAGTACAATTGCTAGGTTATATATATTAACTCTCTTAACTTTCTGAGAAACTCTCAGGCTTTTCAAAGCATCTGCACCATTTTATATCCCACCTGCAATGTGTAAAGTTGGTTCCAGTGTTTCCGTAGTCTCACTAACACTCCTTAATGCTTTGATTGTAGCCATTCCAGTGGGGTCTTATGGTGGTTTTGGTTTACATCTTTGTAACGATGAGTGGTGATGAGTATCTTCTCATGCTGTTGGCCATTTTCTGGAGAAGTGTGCATCGATCCTTTGTTCCTTACCTTTTTTTTTTTTGTTAAATTATAGAAATTCTTTATATACTCTAGGTGTCAGTCCCTTACCAGATAAATGATTGCCATGTATGTTCTACCATTCTATGAGTTGGTCTTTCACTCTTTTGATACAGTATCTTGGATGTACAAAAGTTTTTAATTTTGATGGAGTCCACTTTTTCTAATTTTTCTTTTGGTGTTTCATCTAAGAAATTATCAGTTTCAGTGTGTTGGAGATTATCCACTATTTCCCTCTTAAGATTTTAAAGATTTTACTTTTGTGCTTAGGTCTTCATCTATTTTGAATTTTTTTTTTTTCGTATGATGAGAGGTAGAGGGTCTGTCTTCTTCATTCTTTTGCACGTAGCTATTCAGTTTTCCTAGCACCATTTGCTGCAGACTGTCATTTCCCCTTTGATGGTCTTGGCACCCTCGTCTGTATATGTGAGCCAAGTGCGTGTAATGGCTGTCTATTCTGTAGGCTTCTATGTTCGTCCTTTGCCTACTATGGCATTTTTAGTTACAGTAGCTTTGTAGTCACTTTGAAGTGGGGAAGTATGAGTCCTCCAGCTTTAGTCTTTTTTTCAAGACTTTTATTGGCTATTTGGTATTTCCTTGAGATTCCATATGAATTTTTGGATGAGCTTTTCTGTATCTGCTAACAGTGATAGAGATTGCATTGAGTCTGTAGATTGCTTTGGGTAGTATTCTCATCTTAACACTTAAATCTTCCATTCTGTGCACATGGGATGCCTTATGTCTTTAATTTCAGCAGCATGTTGTGATTTCCAGTATAAAAGTTTTTTTAATCCCTTTGGTTAAATTTGTTTCTATTTTATTCTTTTTAATGCTATTGTTCCTTTGATTTTTAAGAGTTATGTGTTAAGGTACACATTCACATAAATGTTGATAACTTTTTGGTCATTTTTCTTTTGAATATGCTAATGGTGTCTGTTTATTTTGTTTTACATTATAGACAAATTTATAAATTTTTCTTTTATATGCCTGGTGTTTTACTTATTGTTAGAAAAAAAATTCCCTTTACTCAACCTAGAAAGGAATTCACTCATGTTTACATCTAGTACTTATATTGTTTCATTTAAAAAAAATAAAAGGTTAGGTCTCTAATTGCATTTGACTTCTGGTTTTTGTTTTTGTTTTTGTTCTTTTTTTCTTTTTTGGCAGCACTGGGGCTTGAACTCAGAGACTTACACTTGCAAGACAGGCGCTGTGCCACTTGAGCTACTCCACCAGCAAATTATACCTCAATAAATTTAAGGGGAATTTAAAAAATTTTTCGTAGCACTAGGGTTTGAACTCTTGGCTTCACACTGGCAAGGCAGGCACTCTACCTTGAGCCCCTCCACCAGCAAGTTATACCTCAATAGATTTAAGGGGAATTTAGAAAAAAATTTTTTTTTTAGTAGGACTAGGGTTTGAACTCCATACTTGCAAAGCAGGCACTCTACCACTTGAGCCACACCTCTAATCCTTGACTTTCTTCTGTTACCTAGAATGAGATGTGGATCCAGTTTCTTCACTTTCCAAATGATTATCCAGTTGTTCCCAAGTTTTTGTTGTAAATGACCATCTTTTCACCAGTGACTCAAAATGTCTCCCTTTTTGTATTAAGTTTTTATATGTACTTGAATCTCTTGGTGTCTTTTTAAACTATTCATAAGAAAAAAATTTGTATTAGAGCTAATTATGTTGAATAGAAGCTATTATACTTACATGAAATGAATCATTTTTCTTTATAGTCTTAGGAGTATGTATTTTTAAATAGTACATTGTCAATTCTATTCTTTGCTTAACTTTTGCTCTTGAGTTGGCGGGACTTCTTTCTAGTTTTCGATAAAGAAGGCAAGTGACATAGTAGATTATTTGAAGGTCAAAGTTTTGCTAGTGTCATTCAGCTGGGCTGGGGAGCCATATCTGGTTCTTTATTCTTTTTTGTTCATCTGTTGCTTTGTAAAGGTACATAAGAAATCACTATACAATCTTCCCTTGGTATCCAGTTGGATCAAGGACTCCCTATGGATACCAAAACTTATGAATGTCCAAACTTCTCATAAAATGGTGTAGTGTTTATAAATGATTTACATTTGTACATTAGAACTCATGTATAGATTATTTATAATCCAGTGTAAATACTATGTAAATAGTTGTTATCTTATAATAGTTTATAAACAGTAGTCTTACTATTGTTTAGGGAATTATGACAAGAGAGAAATCTGTAGGGGCTGGGTATATGTAGCTCAGTGGTAGAGTGTGTGTCCTCGGCACCATAAAAATTCTATATATTTAGTACAGATGCAGCCTTTTTCCCACATATTTTTAATTTGCAGTGGTTGAATCCATGGATAAGGAACCCATGGATACAGGCTGACTGTATTTGGTTTTATTTTATCCTTATTCCAATAGATAAATAAATCTTGAATATTTCAAAAGTAATAGCTTGACAATACTAAGTGGTGTTTTATAATTGATGCATATTGATATTCTGACAGCCGAAATAAGAAAGATAAAAAGAGAGAAAAAGAAAGGGACCACATCAATGAAAGAAGAGAGAGAGAGCGTTCAACCTCTACAAGGAAGAGTTCTAATGACAGAGAAGGGAAGGAGAAGTCGGAGAAAAACAATACTTCAGTTAAAGTAAGGAACATCCTTCGGGGTTTGGGCTGGGCATCCCAAATTGTTTTTATACTGAAAGCTTCTTGAGGACAACAGTGCCTTCTGCATTATTGGTATTTTGATAAATTAACAATATTTTAAAATTAAATTTGAATGAGATGGGAGTCAATTAAAATTTAAGCAGTTTAGAGATTCAGAAAATGGCATACAATGAGACAATTTTTAGGAAATACAGGTAATGAATGTGTTTGATACCTGATGCCATTTTCCTCAATATGTGCAATTCAGCAAAATTGATAAGATTCTCTCTTTTGTCGTTTTTATAATACATATAGCTTAGGTCTGTTGAATTATTACACATAATTGAAAACCAGTTTTCCACCAAGTAAGCTTCTGTCTTAGAGCTGTTTTAGTACTTCTGAATTAAATCATTTCTCCTACTATCCTGGTGAAGTGTATCTGTATTTGGAAATTACAAGTTCTGGAACTTACATTGTGTACTTTTATTTACTTTCATACTGACTGAGGCTTATCATCGATAGCATTGATTACATTTATTGAGCATGTACTAAGTGCTAGATGTTCTTTGTTTTCATTTTATTCTCTTTAAGCTGAGGACAGAATTTGGATTGTTCTTGAACAGTTTTTTTCTAAGAGGAATAGCAGGCGCTCTACCAATTGGGTCACTCCTCCAGTCCGTATTTAACTTTCTTTTCTTACTGGGGTTTGAACTCAGGGCCTACACCTTGAGCCACTCTGCCAGCTCTTTTTCGTGATTTTTTTTTTTTTTCCGAGATAGGGTCTTGTGGCAGTATTTCCCCAGGCTGGCTTCGAACTCCAATTATCCTGATCTCTGCCTCCTGAGTAGCTAGGATTATAGGCATAAGTCACCAGCACCCAGCTCACTTTTTCTTTTAAACAGACATAATTTACTTTTTTAAGTCTGTCTGTAACTTTTATTGTGTGTTTGGAAGTTTTGCTCACTTTCTTTATTCGAATTTTACTTCCATGATTGCCCATCTTTTGTGTGAAGCAGAATGGGCAAACTGATATGTGTCTGCATGCTTTTTTAATGAAAAAAGGATGGAAGAAAATAATCTAGTTTCATTAATTCACAGAAGATGATTTAGCTAAAATAGACAGTTCTCGAGTAAAGTAGTAAATGTGTACTTTAATATTCATTATAGGAGAAAGAGCACAATAAAGAACCAGATTCAACTGTGGGCAAAGAAGTAGATGATAAGGATGTACCAAGGACTGAGGAAAACCAAGTTCAGCAAAACGGGAACTGTCAGCCAATTGAAGAAAACCTGTCTACCAAAACAGAAGCAGTATAATGTGGACTGATGAATACTCCTCTATACTCAGTGCTGGAATCAAATCCAAAGCTTCTTATTTTCTCAACAAGATGTTAACAGGAAGGAAACCTGATGAACATAAAGATAGGAGCTAACAGCTGTTAGGTGGACATCCATTTGTTAGGTGGACATCTTGTTACTGAGTAAGAAAATCAAGCATGGACATCATAAGAATATCAGGTGTTACCCAAACTCATCACCTTCTGAAATCTGTGCATTTCCATGGTGGCTGACACACTTGTCATGTGGTTTGTTAGTGTTTGCCAAGAACCACTGCAAATAAGTTGAACGTCAAAGATCCAAATTTGTGCTCTACCCTAAAGACTGGGGATAAGCATTGGAGGCTCTCTAAAAAAATGCTAGTTACTGAATTTTGTATTGTTTTACTTTTTTAAAAAAAAATTCAATATATACAGTTTGATGATGTGCTTGAAATTGGTGCAAATATATACACACCCTTGTAAGTGCAAAGTATGTAAGAAGTTTTAACATTGACTTCACAGATTCACAGTGATTGTGGTAAATTCTCACTATTGTGTTTTCTTTTGTTCACTGTTTAGGACAGCAGTTTTTCTTTAAAATAGTTTTACGGATTAAAGTTGCTTAAATAAGTTGATTAAAAAACAACTGACAATGCATGCTACTGTTCTCTTTCAAAAGGAAGAGCAACTCGTTGAGTACTAATAATGATATTGGTATTCAGTGTTAGAATCATCGGGTCTACCCGAAAAGTAAGCCTTTCTCTTTGAACTTTCTTGACATTACCAAGCTTATTATGAATAATATTGCAGTATGTCTTGTCAGCTGTAGGTGGCAAAGATGCCCTTATACAGTGGAAACTGGGTTTTCAAAATGGGCTACGAGAGCACAAGCTGAAGCTTTAGTGCCTTCTACAATGTGGTATACTGTTTTCTAGAATTTTATATGTGCTAAAATTCATACGGAATCCAGGTGGATATTCTGTCATACCCCACACCCATAGAACAGTATGCAAGCAGTATGTCTGAGAGCTTCTGACTTTGTTCACCTGATGGGAGGAGGAATTCCTGTTTTTTTAGACTGACTTTAGAGTTTAAAACAACAATGCAGTTTTGGGACCATCTTTTTTTTTTTCTTTTTTTTAATACTGTGATAATTGAAAATGAAACATGCTCTTCTTTCCTCAAATCAAAAGAAATCTTTTAGTTGACTATATTGGATGGCCTTAATTATTACCTCAATCATTTTCTCATAAATGATATGCAGAAATTATACTTAAAGGGAGGACTAGGAGTATACAGGGGATTATTTTATATTTAAAGATATGTTTACTTGCGTTTAAGATATAGGTCACTCATCAGTCTTAGGTTCACTTTGCAGAAAGTATGCAAGTAGTAAAATGACAACAATGCTACGGTTTTTCCCCAAAACTATAACTTGTAGTTTATGAACTCTACTCTTTTCGTTGTTACAGTTCCAAAAACGTAATACTTTAATTTAGCATGTCATTAAAAATCAAGTATAATTTTAATGCAATCTAATACAATCAAATTACTCAGTTGCCTTACCTCATGGGAAGAGTTACTTTTATAGATTTAAAAAGTTTAGTAGAATGTTAGTTACTTGGTTTCAACTTGAGTTTTGTTTTAATGTTAATACTGTTGAAACTTTAAGAATTTGGTGGTGAGTGGAAAGAGTTACCCTTTTTTGCAAGTAATGAAGCCTGGGTTTGATTATGAAGCTGCTTAATCATCTTCATGTGTTCAGAATTACTTTGTGTGTGGTTGGTTTTTTTTGTTTGTTTTTTGTTTTGGTAACTGTGTACATTAAAATTTTGGAAAATGCTTTACTATGTAAAGTACATAGTCATGTAATCATTCGGCCACATGTTGGCTGGTAAACAGCTTATTCTGATCCAAGGATGCTTGGGTGCATAGTGGAAAGATTGTGAAGGAGTGTGAGCCCTGCATCAGCAGCTGTCTTATTTATGATATGTAAGTAGAATAGAGCAAATGTTGTTTGAATCTTTGTTATTTTTTAGTACCATTTCTCTAATAAAGCTAAGTATTTTAGAGGAAAGTATTTGTTTATACATTTCAAAAAAGCATTTGAGTTTCATCCTGCTTTTGTTTTAGTGACAGAGAGGGTTTTGGGAGGGTGCATGTTTGTATAGTGTCTATAAAACAATCTTTTGAAGTTGTGTTTTCTTTACTCTGGACCCTTACTAAAATTATTTATTTATTGGCTGCACTGGAATTTGAACTCAGGGCCTCGTGCTTGCTGGATAGTTGCTCTACCACTTGAGCCACTCCACCAGTCCTGTTTTGTGTTGAGATTTTTCAAGATAGGGTCTTGTGAACTATTTGCCTGGGCTGGCCTCGAACCCCGATCCTCCTGATCTCTGTGTCCTTAGTAGCTAGGATTACTTTTGTGAGCCACCGGCGCCCAGCTTTAAGATATCTTTTTATGTTGAAAATTAACATTTAATTTGATCCTACTGTTAATTATGTTTCTTTCTGATGCTGATTTTCAACTACAAAAATAATCATGCTAATCTTGAAAGACCAGTTTGTAGAAGTTGGGTAGGAATGCAAGATATTTCGAAAGATTGGAATTAGATTATTATGTGGAATTTTACATTTTCTTACATAGAAGCAAAACTGTTTTCAGGTTTAGAAATATGTGTGCATGCGTTTGTATGTTGTGTGAGAGAGAGAGAGAGAGAGAGAGAGAGAGAGAGAGACCCACACAGACACAGAGTTGCTGTGTTTCCTTTTTTTTTATTATTATTATTATTTCAAGGTATTTTATTTTTTCCTTTGAGACTTCTTTTTCATCTGAGGTAGATAATCAGGAGAACTTGAGGTAAGACCAAGAAGACCACCCTTTTACATTTGATAACCTGTGTGATGTCTTTCATCATTTTAGACAAATCGCGTTGGGATTCTTCTCTTGCCTTTCAGCAATGCCCACTGACCTGGTAACACAAGATAGTCCTTTGTAAAATAACCTGTGCACATGTGAAAATTCAGAAGCCCTTAACTTCTGCAGTTATTTTCTTAGTTATTATTTCCCATCTCATCTACTTAGCTTACAGTTGGAAACACTAGTCAGCTTGTGGCCTTCCCTGTGTTTAGAATTCCCTTTTTTCATTGTTTGCTATGTTGATCTTTATAAGTGTCAGAGTTCAAACAAATAAACAAACAAACCCTGCTATTTATAGCCAAATTTCTTCTCTGATATTAATCATTTTCAGGACCCTCAGCCATTCTTATGTCTGTGTTGCGATTTTTAAAAATTAAATGAAAGAAAACTAATCTAGACCTGCTTTCAACTTCCTAACTGGAGATGATCCAAATTTAAGGATTAAAAAGTTTAGTAGACTTTTAAGTTTTTTTCAACCTATACTATATCACAAAAGTAAAGTGATTTCATTTAATCATCTTTAGTTGTAGAATTAGCAGTGACAATTAAGCCTTTTGAAAGATGCATTGAACAACTTAGCATTTATTTCTGTTACTCCTTACGTTTTCATTCACTGAGTGGGTTATGAAATTCAACCACCCAACTAAGTAAAAGTTCAGTGACCACGTGTTATTTTAAGTGTTTAAATGTTTTATTTTCACCACCTATATGATTAGTGTTTTCTCATGTTAATTTACTAATAGGCAATTTATTTTCAAATTTTAAAAGTTAATGTTCTTAAAAAAAGGGCTTAATTATATTTCTGGAAGCAGAATCTAGTATAAATAATAAAGTAATCTTTTAAAATAGTACTGACTTCCCTGCTTAATTTTGAGTTTGTGGGTGAGCCTTTTGTCTTATGGGGGTTTTTTGTTGCTTTTTTTTTTTTTTTTT